GAGCGAAAGATCTGCGAATGCCTCTATGGCGGGCTCGGGTTGTCCGTCGTCGTCGTCGTCGTCGTCGTCGTCGTCGTCGTCGTCGTCGACGCTGTCCTCCTCCCGCATCCTCCTCCTGCTCCTCCCGTATCGCTCCACATCTTCCTCCCATTCTACCCCTATCTGCCAAAAGGAGCGAAGGCCTTTATGGTTGACTCCTGGTTTCCTCGTGCCTCCTCGCTGTCACGGAGCACTCGGGGGTCAACCATAAAAGGGCGCCGTGACGCCTTTCCAATGGAGCCCCGTGCTTCCAGAAGACAGGATACAGTCGGCCCGTATCATGAAGATGCGCGATAAGGACGCAAGGACCTTGGACGCCCATCTCGAAGCTTCTCGAGCGGGGAGCGGCCAACGAAAGTTGTCAAGGATGGGCCGAGGAGGCAAGGATGCAAAGGTACCCTTTGGAGGGGTGCCTATCCTTACTATGCGGGTCGACTGTATCTGGTTGATTCCTGAACGCCTCCCAGGAAGGAGCCATGGTTGAACTCCTTGGTTCTCACGGAGAGGATCGCCGCTGGAGGCCTCGTGCCGACCGTACCCGAGGCCCTCCAACTTCTGCTGGAGCGTTGAACCGATACAGAGGGGGCCCGACGACAAGAAACCTTCCACAAGAAACCCAACCCTGAGACCCCAGGGAGTCCATGGATTTTTGGGGTGGGAGCGCACGCTTTCCATAGCAAAACCATCGAAGCCCAAGAACACCAGGGCACTCTGGAGGCAAGCGGGGTGCTTCTTGGCGTGGGTCTCCACTGTGTATGGCGGCTGTCCCCCTGCCTCTTTGTTGGTGTCTCCGCATGCTCCGACCAGGCTATACTCTCCTGGGGTGCGCTCCTGGGCGGGCCGGCGAGGGTACGCGGAACGTCTAGAATTAGATCGGGCATGTCCTCCTACAGGTGATTTCTGGAAGAAGTTAGTCTGGTGAATGACTTAATCATATGTAAGTGTGAATAACGCGTTGTGGGTGCCGCTTCTGATGGGCGTGCCGTAATGGGTGGGGGGGACGCATACGGGCGGTCCCACTGGGGCCTTCGGTGGAGCTCCCTGTGGGGCCACGACGCGCTGTAGTGGGTTGTGGAGACGCATGCGGGCGGTGGCACTGGGGCCTTCGGTGGAGCCCCCATATGGGGCCACGAAGTGCAGTACTGGGGGTGTCGGACGCATGCGGGAAGTCCCACTGGGACCTTCGCTGGAGCTCCCTATGGGGCCACGAAGCGCTGCACTGGGTGGGGGGGACGCAGCGGTGCCAGTGGGACCTTCGGTGGAGCTCCCGATGGGGCCGCGAAGCGCTGTAGTGGCGGACGCATGCGGGCGGTCCCTCTGGGACCTTAGCTGGAGCTCCCAGTGGTCACGAAGCGCTGTACTGGGTGTGGCGGACGCATGCGGGCGGTCCACCTGGGGCCTTGGGTGGAGCCCTCCATGGGGCCACGAAGCGCTGTACTGGTCGTGGCGGGCGCATGCGGGCGGTCCCACTGGGACCTTCGTTGGAGCTCCCTATGGGGCCACGAAACGCTGTACTGGGTGTGGCGGACGCAAGCCCATGGGATCTTCGGTGGAGCTCATCATGGGGCCACGAAGCGCTGCACTGGGTGGGGGGGACGCAGCGGTGCCATTGGGACCTTCGGTGGAGCTCCCGATGGGGCCGCGAAGCGCTGTACCGGGTAGGGGGGACGCATGCGGGCGGTCCCACTTGGGACCTTAGCTGGAGCTCCCAGTGGTCACGAAGCGCTGTACTGGGTGTGGCGGACGCATGCGGGCGGTCCACCTGGGGCCTTGGGTGGAGCCCTCCATGGGGCCACGAAGCGCTGTACTGGTCGTGGCGGGCGCATGCGGGCGGTCCCACTGGGACCTTCGTTGGAGCTCCCTATGGGGCCACGAAACGCTGTACTGGGTGTGGCGGACGCATGCCCCTGGGGCCTTCGGTGGAGCTCCCGACGGGGCCGCGAAACGCTGTAGGGGGGACGCATGTGGGCGGTCCCACTGGCACCTTAGCTGGAGCTCCCAGTGGTCACGAAGCGCTGTACTGGGTGTGGCGGACGCATGCGGGCGGTCCACCTGGGGCCTTGGGTGGAACCCTCCATGGGACCACGAAGCGCTGTACTGGTCGTGGCGGGCGCATGCGGGCGGTCCCACTGGGACCTTCGCTGGGGCTCCCTATGGGGTCATGAAACGCTGCGCTTGGTGTGGCGGACGCATGCGGGCGGTCCCACTGGGGCCTTCAGTGGAGCTCTCTATGGACCCAGGAAGCGCTATACTGGGGGTGTGTTGGACGCAAGCCCATGGGATCTTCGGTGGAGCTCATCATGGGGCCACGAAGCGCTGTACTGGGTGGGGGGGACGCATGCGGGCGGTCCCACTGGGACCTTAGCTGGAGCTCCGTATGGGGTGAAGAAACGGTGTACTGGGTGTGGCGGACGCGCGAGGGCGGTCCCACTGGGACCTTTGGCGGAGCTCTATGGGGCCACGAGGCGCTGTACTGGGTTGTGGCGGGCGCATGCGGGCGGTCCCACCGGGACCTTCGTTGGAGCTCCCTATGGGGCCACGAAGCGCTGTACTGGGTGTGGCGGACGCATGCGGGCCGTCGTACTGGGATCTTCGGTGGAGCTCATCATGGGGCCACGAAGCGCCGTACTGGGTGGGGGGGACGCATGCGGGCGGTCCCACTGGGACCTTAGCTGGAGCTCTCTATGGGGCCACGAAGCGCTGTACTGGGTGGGGGGGACGCAGCGGTCCCACCGGGGCCTCAGGTGGAGCTCCCGATGGGGCCGCGAGACGCTGTACTGGGTGGGGGGGCGCACGAGGGCGGTCCCACTGGAATATTAGCTGGAGCTCCCTACGGGCCGAAACGCTGTACTGGGTGTGGCGGACGCATGCGTGCGGTCCACTTGGGGCCTTCGGTCGAGCTCTACATGGGGCCACGAAGCGCTGTACTGGGTTGGGGCGGGCGCATGCGGGCGGTCCCACTGGGACCTGCGCTAGAGCTTCCTATGGGGCCACGAGGCGCTGTACAGGGTGTGTCGGACGCATGCGGGCGGTCCCACCGGCACCTTCAGTGGAGCTCCCTATGGGGCCACGAAGCGTATGAAGGGGGTGCCGAAAGAGGAGGGAGGCCGACGTGGGTGGCGATGGCGACGGTGGTAATGATGACGACGATGCCGATGACGATGACGATGCCGATGACCATAATGACGATGATGATGATGATGATGATGATGATGATGATGATGATGATGATGATGTTGATGATGATGATGATGATGATGATGATGATGATGATGCGGATGATGATGTTGACGTTGATGTTGATGATGATGCTGATGGTGATGATGATGGTGATGGTGATGATGATGATGGGGGGAGGGAGGCGGGGGGGGAGGAAGGAAGGATGAGACCGCGGGGCGCTCTCTCTTCAAAACGAGGACCTAACACCACCGGCTTGTTGGACAACATGGGAAATAACCAAACATATTCAAACATAGCCAGAACAATAATTTTCCCAGTGCGACCCTACCTAGGAGTTGGAGCCTCCAGGAAAGCAACATTAGTAGGAGCGGTAAACGCCGTCCTCCTCCTTCTCCTCATCGTCGTAGTTGTAGCAGTAGCGGTAGTAGTAGTAGTAGTAGTAGTAGTAGTAGTAGTAGTAGTAGTAGTAGTAGTAGTAGTAGTAGTAGTAGTAGTAGTAGTAGTAGTAGTAGTAGTAGTAGTAGTAGTAGTAGTAGTAGTAGTAGTAGTAGTAGTAGTAGTAGTAGTAGTAGTAGTAGTAGTAGTAGTAGTAGTAGTAGTAGTAGTAGTAGTAGTAGTAGTAGTAGTAGTAGTAGTAGTAGTAGTAGTAGTAGTAGTAGTAGTAGTAGTAGTAGTAGTAGTAGTAGTAGTAGTAGTAGTAGTAGTAGTAGTAGTAGTAGTAGTAGTAGTAGTAGTAGTAGTAGTAGTAGTAGTAGTAGTAGTAGCGCCAGAACCGCCGACGCCGCGCCGTAAGTGAAGCAGCAGCAGAAGCAGGCAGCAAGTCGCCGAGACAGCAGCAACAGCAAACGATAATACGTCGGGATTCATGTCTCCCGGCCGGTGCTATGTGCGAAACCTTCGTGAATCCTAAGGGCTCAAGCTGCCCCACTAACGGCTCAAGATGGCCCACAGACGGACAACATGCATGGAACATACGTGCGCACACACACACACATATATATACAGCAGCAGCAATAGTGGATGCTGTGCTGCGCTATGCTATGTTATGCTATGCTATGCTATGCTATGCTGCGCAATGCTATGCTGGGCTAGGCTAGGCTATGCTATGCTATGCTGCGCTATGCTATGCTGCGCTATGCTATGCTATGCTATACTATGCTTTGCTATGCTTTTGCTTTGCCTTCGCTCTTGCCTTCACGTTTGCCTTTGCTTTTGCTTTTGCTTGGCACCCAAGGAGCGCAACTGGGGGAACCGCGCGTTTGCTTTTACCTTTGCTGCTGCTTTTGCTTGGCTCCCAGGGGACCGGGGGAACCGCCCGGGGCGGGTTACACTGCCCGGCCCCTTTAAGCCAACAGAGTAAGAACCCTTCTAGGCAGAGCCTAGGTAAGGAAAAAGTCATCCCCATATTTTTTTAAAACTATTTTTGAATGTTCCTCCTGTAGAGGGACATGTCCGACTTAAAGCTAGAGGGCGGGTTTTGTGGCGCTCTGTGGCCGCACTGGGGCACAGCCGTGGTGGTGGTGCAGGGTTGGGAGCAGGTGACAACCATCAGGAGGGACCGCGGGACTGCAGCTCGTCGGCCTGACCAGCACGAACATCTGTGTCGTCATTCTGTGGTTCAAAAATGGGATCCTGAAGGTCCTAAGGATGAGGTGCTTCATATAACGTAAATCCACCGTTGGATCCCTTCCTATCCTTAGGTCCATTCCCTCAGGACCCCATCTTTGAACCACAGAGGAATTCGGTGTGATTGCTGATGTATTGAGGCATGCTCCCGCCACCTCTGGTAAACCTTGAGAGGGCTCGCAGGCGAGCTCTGGCCCGATAGAGCTTCCTCCTGGGCGCGGGTGCACGACGGCGCAAGGAAAGAACACAGAGCACGCATGATGCCGGCTGCGCGGCAGGGTGTCATCGACCAGCAGCGAATGAGGCTCTGACGACATGAAGTCGACGACCACGCTGCACAAGGATGCGCGATCCGCACGAAGAACAAGTCAGCGAAGAGAGCAGCGACAGAGGCAGCGCTGACGCGAACAGCGTGGACGAGCACGAGCCTCATCCTCCTACGCCTCCTCCTCCTCCTTCTCCTCCTCCTCCTCCTCCCTCTTTTACCTCCTTCTTCGCCTCCCCCTCCCTCTTCTACTCTGTCCTGATCCTAGTTCTTCTCCTCCTCCTCCCTCTTCTCCTTCCTCCCTTCTGCCTCCTCCCTGTCCCTACTCGTTCCTCAGTCCTGCTCTACTGATTTCCCCCCACCCCCTCTCTCTCTCTCTTTTTTTGCTCTGTCTCTCTCTCTCTCTCTCCTTCTGGTCCCTCCTTCTGCTGCTCCTACTCCTCCTTATCCTCCCCTCTTCTACCGCGGACAGGACAATTCGATTCCGCATTCTCCTTCCCTACCCCCCCCTCCTCCTCTTCTTCGCCTTCCGGCCTTCATCCATCCTCCCTGCGCAGAATGGACACGCTCTGTATCGCAATAACACAGGACTGGCGCCTCATATCCGGAGGATTCTCAGCATCGGCTCCAGGTTCCCCCTTCTAGTCTGCACTCAGGCGTTTTGGGGGAACATCCAGCATGCATATTCGGTACTCAAACCACGGCTTCTGCCGATCTTTCCAGCGCGCAGGGGGGGTACTTCTCGCTCACAGGGGGCGCTGGGAGGAACGGAGAGCCGCTGGCAAGTCGCGCGCGGTGTAACGGACGGGGCGGGCACGGCAGTGCAGCCCAAGAGCACCAGGTCTCCTCCTGAGGACCCGCACCTCGTCGGCCCAATGCTCCTCCAGGTAGAGTACCAGGTCCTCCATGATGGTGCGCACCACCTCGGTTCCCTCCGCCTTCCCTGCCCCCTCGCCGTCGTCCGCATCCACGCTTTCCCGTCCGCCTTCTCCCCCCCACACCTCCTCTGAAAGCAGCCATCTCCTTTCCCGTCCCCCCCAGCTCCGACCCCCCCCTGCCAGTGCGAGGGGCAACCATAGAGGGGGGGACTAGCACGAAGGGGATGCATCGACCTGGAATCGGCGATGCATCGCCGATAGGTCGGCGATGAGCCCCCCGATAGCGGAACCGCTATCAGACCCCTATCGGCGATCAATGGGCGATTTGGGGTCGATGCATCCCCCCATGCCCATCCCCCCCTTTCGTTCCCTGACCGCCTTCATCTTCCTCGTCGTCGTCGTCGTCGTCGTCGTTGTCCTCCCATCCTCCTCCTCCTCGTCCTCCTCCTCCTCCTCCTCCTTCCCCCCTCACACAGCACCTTCCACTGCTCCATCCCCAGCTCCCGTAACCCCCTCCTCCTTTCACTCCTCGTCCTCGATGTCCTCCCATCCTCCTCCCTTCCTTCCTTCCTCCCTCCGTCCGTCCCTCCCTCCCTCCCTCCTATTCCACTTCCCCATCGCCTTCCTCCTCGCCGCATGCTTCACTGTCCTCCTCGAGCTCGTCCTCGCGCTCCCCCTCATTTTCTTCTTTCATCCTTCGACACCAGACGCTTCCTTCCTCCTCCTCCTCCTCTTCCTCCTCCTCCTCCTCCTCTTCCTCCTTCTCCTCCTCCTCCTCCGTCTTCTCCTCCTCATCCTCCTACGTCTTCTCCTCCTCTGCCTTCTTCTCCTCCTCCTCCTCCTCCTCCTCCTCCTCCTCCTCCTCCTCCTCATCCTGATCCTTCTGCCTGTCCATCTCCCGTCCCCCCCCCTCCTCGATTCCCGCTCGCCCATCCATGCAGGCCCGTCCTGGCGCTGGAGCGTCTCGGCCCAGCACCGCCCCCCCGCCCCCCACATACCCTCTCGCGGCCTCCGCGCGCGCTCGCGCGCGGGGCCCGTCCGCGCGCCCCAGGGACGGGCCCCGGCCGCCCCCGTCTCCTGGATCATGGTCTCCTCCCCCATCCCACTCCCCCTCCTCCTCCTCCTCCTGCTCCTCCTCCTCCTCCTCCTCCTCCTCCTCCTCGCCCTGGCCCTCCCACTCCTCCTGGCCCTACGCCTTCTGATGATGGCTCGATGGTTCACGACCGCAGGAAGAGAAGGAACGATCGAGCATGGGACGACGCGAAAAGGAGAGGGCGACCGCCTGCCAGGCCTCACAGGCCCGCGTAGTGCACGCTGAAGGCCCAGTTCAGGAGGCAGCAGGTCAGGGAGCAACGGTATCCCAGAGGTTGTGTGTCGTGCTGGGTGTGTTGGGGAGGGGAGGCGGCTGCGTCTTGGGTACCCCGAGGCACGGGGTTGCGTCCTGCCTGCTTCAGGAGGACTGGTGGGTGAGGGGGGGGGGTCGGGCGCGGGGCTCCCACAGTAGTGGCAGTGGTTGGCCGTGGGCCGCTATAGCGGTGGCTGCTGGCGGCAAGCCGTGTTGTTGTGGAGGGCGTCCTGACGCCGTCTGACCGCTCGTCTGGGGGGCCAAGCGCCTCCGCGTAGTTGCGCCGGAACGTCGCGGTGTTGGAAGCAGGGGCGAGCCCGTCGGAGGTCGCGGCCGTCGCGGGGGGGGGGGGGCGTCGTCGGAACGTACCCGCCACGCGGGGAGGCCGTCGGGTGCGGCGTCGGGCTGCCGTCGGGCAGGCTGCTCGGCGGCTGGCGCTCGGCCGCGGGCGAAGAGTGGGTCCTAGCCGGAGTTCTGGGCCATGAAGTCCTCAACGTCTGTGGAAAGCCAGCTTGCCCTGTTGCCCTCTTCGAGGGTCCTCCAGGTCGCCTCTGCGGGTCTGTCGTGGGCAACGGACGCCTCGTATGCCGCAGAATTTGCGAACGACGCCTCGTAGTAGGGCAGCTGCTCCTCCAGGGGCAGCTGGGCGACTGCGGCGGGGGCCATTGCCGCCAGCTGGGCCAGTCGGGCCTCAGCGTACCTGTCGGTCGGGCCGTCTGGCCTGTCCTCGAGGCCCAGCTCCAGGTGGCATACGTATGGCCTCAGGTGGTATGCTGGCGTGCTGCCTCAAGTCGTGGATCGTGTGATGCTCGTGGGCGTTGGCAGCGGGTTGGTCATGGTTCAGCCCGTCGAATGGCCTGTCGGGATCGGACGGACTGTGGGGTCGCCGCCGCCGCCGTCATTCTCGGAATCGCTGTCGGCGTCGTCCGTCCGCTCTTCGGCATAGCGGTGCGCTCGCGTTTGGCTGTCTCGCAAGCCCTTTCGAATTGCGGCCACCGCGCGCGTGTCCTGTGCGACGAGCTCGTCTTCCTGCTGTTGCTGTTGCTGCTGCTGCTGCTCCACCTGCTGCTGCTGCTGCTACTGCTGCTGCTGCTCCTCCTCCTCCTCCACCTCCTCCTCTATTGCCTTCTCTTTCTGATTTCCCTTCCTCTGACTCGTCCTATTCCTCATCCTTCCCTTTCTCCTCCTCATTTCCCTGTGCGTGTTCGTCCGTCCTCCTGTTGATGCTGTTCCTCTCATTTCTCCCGCTCTTGTTGCACTGTTGCGCTCCTACATCCTAAATACAGTCCTCCTCCTGTCCCCCTCTTTCCCCCTGCTCCATACCATTGAGTATGCCCCCATGTTCTTCACCTTTCCTTCTGTATCGATCTGATGCAAGGGCGGCGCTTGCCTCCGTATCGGACACGTCGGCAGACACCTCCGCGCTGGGCTGCGTGCAAGAGGAGCAAGTGCCCACAAGAAGCGTAATCGATTAGGGCTCTCGGGTGGATTTGCTCCGTCGGCGCCGAGCGAGAAAGTAACACGTTTTGGGGTCTGGGCAGCCCGATGGCACACGGGCATGCTGGACTGGGGCGATCGGATGGTTTTGCCCACTGGGCACAAGCAAGACGGTGACACGCTTGGGGTCTGGGCGGCCCAACACGCATTCCACTTTCGAGTCAGCGGCGCAGAGGGTCCCCAAGCGCGAGTAACAGATGGAGGTGCCAATCCCACCAGCCCTCTGGGCGACAAGTGGTCTAACGAGATTCCTCTTCCTTCTTCCACAACCCCTTCTTCCCCTTCGGGGGAGGGTTTACCCCTCCCCCTACCCCCTCCCCTGGACCTGGACGGGGGGTCCCGCGAGGGGTTGGAGGTCCAAGATGGCCCAAGATGGCTCCAGGAGGGCCTCCGATGCTCCAAGATGGCCTCCAAGACGGCTCAAGACAACCGAAGCTGCTACAAGACAGCTTCCGACATGCCTCCAAGAGCCCCCACGAGGGCCACAAGACGGCTCCAGGTGCCCTCAAGGACCCCTCAGGACCTCCCCGAAAAACCAACATCCTTCAACCAGCTAAAAGAACCCAACGAATTGTACCTTGTCGCCTTTTCGCTTCCGATGCGCTTCTGAGGCCTCAAGGTGGCCCCACGATGACCCAATAAAGCCCCAAGAGGGGCCCAAGAGCCCCCCAATACGGCCCCAAGAGCGCCCCAAGAGACGGTTTTGAGGGCCCCAGAAGGGGGACTGAGATACAGTAACCCACCCTTTTGATCGATAGCCTCCACGATGGCCCCAAGAGGGCCTCCCAGGTTCCCAGCAGAGCCCCAAGAGGGCCCCAAGAGAGCTCCAAGAGGGCCCCAAGAGGGCCCCAAGACGGCCCGAAAAGCGCCCAAGAGCGCTCCAAGAGAGCCCCAAGAAGCGGTTTGCGAGCTCCTGGGGGGGGGGGGGAGTTGGGGACCCCCCCATCCTTTGATCGATGGCCTCCAAGAGGGCCCCCAAAACTCCCAAAGAACACCAACAACATCAACAACCGCAATAATACCTCTAGATGGTTCCATGGGTCCTCGTCCGCGTGGTCCTCATCCGCGTCCGCCTCCGCCTCCTCCTCCTCCTCCTCCTCCTCGTCTTCCTCTTGGTCCTAGTCCTCGTCCGCGTCTTTGACCCAGACCCCCCCGTCCTCCTCCTCCTCCTCCTCCTCCTCCTCCTCCTCCTCCAGATCCCATCAGCCCTTTGGGCGACAGGTTGTCTAACGAGGGTCTCTTTTCTCTTCCACACCCCTCTTCCCTTCGGGGAGGGGAGCCCCCCCCCCTCCCTGAAGTTTTTTTGGAAAAGGGTCGCAAGGTGTCGGAGGCTCCTTTTTCCAGCCATTGGGAGGACCATTTTTTTGTCACCCCTCACGGTGATCGTGGCCCTCGAGGGGGGGACGCAACTCGAGTACCCCCCCCTTTTTGAACGACCGACTCCAAGATGGCCCCAGAATGCCCTCCAGGGCTCCCAAAAGGCTCCCAAGAGGGCCCAAAGAGCGCCCCAAGAAACCCCACGAGGCCTCCAAAAAAACACCCGAGACGCCCTCAAGAGGCCCCCGAGCGGCCTCAGAGAACCCAGAATGACCTCCAAGATGGCCCAGGTAGCCCAAGCTGGCTCAAGATGGCTCCCAAGATGCTCCAAGCGGCCCCAAGACCGCTCCAAGACGGCTCGAGATGAGGAGCCTTCCCTGCCTCCCTCGCTGTTTGACTATGCGTGTCTCTTCCTCTCTCCTCCCGTCAACTCTCATGGGCATCGTTTCTGAAAAGGGCTGATGGAGATTTTATTCGTCGCAGCCGCAGGCGAAGGCGCCGACGGCGTCACAAGTCAACTCGGGCTACGAACAAACCTAATCAACCTAAGCGCGCACTAGCGGCTGCTGAACTACCGCCGAGGAACGCAGCGCTGGTGGGGATATTTTTTTTTGGTCGCGGCCGCAAGCGAAAGCGCAGACGGCGACGAGGGTGTCCGGGCCAACGGGCAAGCCCTGTTAGCTGCAAGGCGCAGCGCGAGCAGGCCGGGCCAGCCCTCAGAGGCAGCAGCTGCTGCAGCGGCGGCGGGGGGCTGACTGGCTGAACTGCAACGCCCAGAGAAACTCGAGCATCATGCAGACCTGTGGCAAAGTGCCAGGGAATTCCCAACTGTGCGCCGCGGCGCCAGTCCACCACGGTGTAGGTGCCATGACGAGACAGAGAGTGTCCTACACGCACAATCCGCACAAACACTGTAGCTGGTGGGGATACGCGAAGAGTCAAGTATTGCGATCGAGCATAATCGACAGCGCAGTGAAAGAAGCGTCAATCACTGACGTGCAAATATGGATGGTGGGTAGGAGGAACTGTAACCCAGCGAACGTGCCGCAGCCAGAAACTGAGGAGCACGTCGGAGCGAGCTCGACCCAAGGTGAACTGGAGCGAGAACAGTCTGGTGCTAATTGCCACTGAAGACGCAATGCACACGGGCACGTTGGAATTCTGGGAAGGTACACGGCGGCGGGTAGGACAATGTTAGGTGCCGATCGGGTCTGGCGCCACACTCACGTCTACCGTCCCCTCAGTTCTGCCAGCTCCTGGAACCAACTCCAGCGCGCCGCGCGTGCGACATTTCGTAACCCTCCCTGCTTTCCCGGGTGTGGCAACTAAAGAAATATTCGCGGCACCACCTGACGGGAAAACTACCTACACGTGGTGCAGAAAACGCCGTGTACTTGTCCGTTCCACGTGCCGGTTCGCTCCGCGCCCAAATTTGAAGCATCGATAGAACAATGCCTTACGTGATGTCGGCTTCGTCGAGCCTGCGGGTTGTGAATCAAAATTCAGCGGCCCGGCTGCCGCGCTGCCGGCCCCGCTCAATACTCGATCAAGTGCGAGTATCTGTAGCTCGGCAAAAACTTCTTCTGCAACTTCTCCTCGCCGTGTCCCGCAGTGCTGTCGGCGGAAGCACTATTGCCCGCCATCGCGTCCAGGATGCGGTCCAACGAGATGCTGCTCCTCGTCGTCGGATGGGCTCGCAAACCCCGTGTGTCACACCACGGCAGGTCCTCAATCTGTTTCGCTTGAAGCTGATCGGCGCGCCGCCTCGGATGTCAAGCCATGCTGTTCTCAGGCGGCGGCTTGGCTGGGCCCATGAGCGGCGCGGAAAACATGGACATGCTGTCGACCACCACCACTTTGGCTGGTGCCGCGTGTCCTCCTTCCTCTCAAGGCCTCCAAGTCTGGCCAGCAGAGGTGGAGGCGCGCGTCATCTCGCGCAGTGTCGCAGGGAGGCCTGCAGCCCATCGGCGGCCCCGCATGCGGCTTCCGCAACAGCTCCGTGCCGAAACTCAATCTGCCGGCCAGCTTGTGTGGCTGGGCCACTGCGTCCAACTAGCGGCAGATCTCTTTGTCGCTATGACGACAGGGGTCCATCTGCATGCATGCTGATCCTATCATTCCGTATCCTGTCTCCTCCTTGCGCTTGACTGAGCCATCGCTGTGAACAAGCAGCCGCCTGGCGCACTTCATGGCCTGGTGGGCGACTCGGGCCTCGACTCTCAACGCGGCCAAGACAGCGCTATTGAGCTGCAGTGCCTGTCGGATGAGCAGCTTGGTGTTGGCCATCTGCAAGTCGAGGACGCGCGCGGCCATGGCGTGCTGGGTGAACCTCGCAACTGCCCCCAACAAACTCGCGAAGATGTCTGGGAGTGGACCTTCCGTTGGCGGATCCGCCGTCGGCCGCCGCGACATGGCAAATGGCGCGCGGTGGTCGCACCGCGTTTCCCAGCCGTAAGGGACTGGTGCACGCGACGCGGCTGACTGGTGACTTGCCGCGCTGGGAACGGTCTGCTGGAGGGTCGCCCTCACAGGCTTGACTGTGTCTGCCGCTGTGGCAGGTCGTAGTATAAATAGTGCGTCAAACGTGGGCCCCGCCGCTGCCGCCCCAGCGGCCGCGCCGCTGGTGCTGGGTGGGGCATCGCCGATGAATCGGGAGATTGCGGTGGCGTCGCCACGTCCGCGGCGCGCTGGACGCAGGGCCACTTCGTCGCCGCTGCTCTGCGTCCACCGGGTCTCGCAACGTGGGTGTAGGATGTGTCGGCGCGGCAGTCGTGCCGCGGGATCGCCGTGCTCGGACTCCCCCAGTTAGACGACGCACATGCGATCGTCGCTGTGGAAGCTGGCTGCGGCTTCAGCTTGCTCCAAGCGCCCAGCAGGAGGAGGGTCAACGGAAGTCGCTGCTGTCGCTGCCCTCACCTCCTGGCGTCGATGCCGGCATCCCTCCATAGCAGCTTGGGCGACGTGCATCTCGTCGATGGTGCCTTGCCCAATGTGGCCGAGGGGTTGTGCTGACGTTAGCTGAGATGGGTCGTGGGAGTTGGTTGTCGGTGCCCCGGCCCTTGAGAAACTACTGGCGGTCTGAAAACCACGGGGCCACTCGGCCAGAAATTTGATTGACCTCCACGTTGCTGCTCGTCAAGAGTGGCGAGTCCTCCGGTTGTTTAGAGATCGGCAGTGGCGTGGCTGCTTGGATGCCGAGTGGCGGCAAGCCCGATCTCGCGCCAGTCTGAGCCAGCCATATCGAGCTTTCCGCAGACGCCGCGGGAATTCCCAGAGCGGTAATCTTGAGGGCTGGCCCAGTTGGGCAGACTCGCCTCAAGGGGGCGCGGGGCGGTCGAACGGCGCCTACCTGGTCTGGTGGACGCACGCCTAGTGGGAACGAACGCGTGGCTCTGCAAGGTATCTGACTGGCGGTGAATGGGGGTGCAAACAATGACATAAGCATGAACGCTCGGAGGTCCGCGCAGATTCCTCGGATCGGCGCTGGACCACCCTCCGTGGCGCGCGGGGCGCGCCAGGGGCGGCGCCGGCGGCGCCGCCAGGGGGGTCCAGCGCCGATCCGAGAACTCCGCGCGGACCTCCGACTTGTTATGCTTATGCTAT